CTATTTTCCTACAGGAGGGAGAGAGACAGAAATGGAGCAGGGAGATAAGCAAAGATGGCACATGAGAGATTGCCAGTGACCAGTAATTGAAGAGTGACTACTGATTTGAGATGATCTTGGGTGAGGTGCAAAACAAAAGATTTTTTTAATATTCTTTGCATGAAAAATTAATGTGTTGGCTTTGCCTTGTAATTACTTCCAAATTTGCATATAGATATAAATTAGCATATGTACATCTTATGCAGATTGGTCTAGAGGCCATATCTATAAAGCGACTAGAACCCTCTCTGCTGATAAATCATAGGCAACCCAATCGGCGTGTTTGTGCAGCCGACGGGTGTGGGTTGGCTGCACGTTCGTGGCAGCAGAACACCTGAAATCGACAGTGGATCCCATGACAAAGAAATTAAGCTCAGGTCTACACCATTTGTGACCTCACCAAGCCAAACACCAGTTCATCTAATCTTTTCAGTGACTCCAGCTAGTTATGCAAGTCCATGCTAAATGAACATAATCAGGCATGGTGAGAGCTGAGCTGGTGTCGTGGTTCAGAGCGTGGGACTGGAACTCGGATGATCCGGCTTCTAGTCTCTGCTCAGCCACGGAGCCCACTGGGTCACTCTGGGCCAGTCACAAATCCTCAGCCCAACCTACCTCATGGGGTTGTTGTTGTGGGGATAAGATTCAGAGCAGCAGGAGAAAGATGTAAGCTGCTTTGAGTTCTTTAAAAAAGAAAAAGGTGGGATATAATAAATAAGCAAGCAAGCAAGCAAGCAAAGGGGCATGCAATCATTTAGCAGGAATGCCTGGATTCTGTGCTGAGAAAGCTCAGGTGTCCGCAGTAACCAAATCTGGCAGTCTGACTCAGTTTGATATGCACGCCAATACTAATCCTAGCATTGAGTGCTCAGTTGAGCAGAAGTGCTCAATTCTTTGACTCAATCTTTTTGCAAAAGCTGGCCAGTGCCCCCAGGACAAAACAAGTACAAACTGAAGGGTCAGGATTGAAGCTTGAGATTAATAAACAAATGATCAAGGGACACGTGACTTACTCGAATATGTTCAGATCTCCAGGGCCTGATGAGCTCTACAACTCATAAAAAGGGAATTTGGGGAAGGGGGAGGGGGAATCTGATGATCCAGTTTCTGAATTGCAGCTTCCTTCTCAGGAGCCTCTCACCAGCCAGCGAAAAGGCGGGCCGAGTTGGACAGAGCCATCACTTGATCTGCAGAGTCAATTTCATTCCGAAGGGAAGCTTTCCGGAAAGACAACATGTTCTCAGATGTTGCCTTTGGTGATGTGGTTGCATCGGGGCTCACGGAGAGGAAGCACTTGCTCCTTTCCTAGCAAGAACGCTGACAGCACCTGCCACTTCCTGGCAACATCGGATGGGTTTGCACAATATGGTAGTCCCCTCCAGAATTTTAGCCATGCACAGTGGCTAAAACTCCATGTCCAGCAGAGGACTGGGACGGGTGTGTCTCCTTCCCCGCTTGGTCCTCCGGCTGGCACCCCAGGGGCCATCAAAGCAGCATGGAGCAGCGTGGGAATGCCCACGTCTTGCAGGGCTGCCTCCCCCGTTCCACAGCCCATCCGCATGCACAAGCACTCTGCTCCCAACACTTGTCTCCTTGCTTTCACACATCCCTGTTCCTTGGCAAGCCTCTTCTGCCGGGAGCACAACTCTCTCTCTCTCATTGGTGCGTTGGTCAGCTGCTCTGGTGAATGTTTGCCAGCCAGTCTTACGGTGGCTTTCTGTGCTTAGCCCCACGGAGATTTCAAAGGGCATGAAAAGCAAAGGGCCTCCTCTGGAACATGTGAAGCAAACCGGGCTGCATCGTGCCCAGTTTCCCACTGCAAGGAATGGAGAAGGCCGAGTCTGTTTGCCTCCGCAGCGCTAATTGGATTACTGCAGGCTTGCATTTAGCAACGTGCCTGTCACTGTACATCTCCAAGCAATGCCATGAAGGTGAGCCTTGAAGGTGAGCCACGGAGGAGCACACCGCTCCTGGCCTGCTCTGGGGGCAGTGGGGGAGGAAAGCTCTTTCCCCTTCAGTAGGGGAAGGCAACAGGTCGCTCTCCAGATGCTCCAGCCTACAATTCCCATCAGCCCTCGTCAGCACAGCCAATGGAAAGGGCTGATGGGGGTGCTAAGTCAAAACATCGAAGCCAGAACCTTTTATCTGCCCAGTATTTTAACAGTTAACTTTTTAATCTTTGCACGCGCACGTGTGTGTGTGTGTGTTGTACTGCTCCTATACATCTTGATTGCAACGGTTGTGGTTTCATTATTTTATGGCTTTTAATTGGTTTTTAACCTTTGTTAACTCCTCAGAGAACCTCAGGCTCTTGGGTGGTATAAACATGAAATGCGTTAAGAAACGTGTGGGGGGACGCAAGTTCTCCACCCCTGCTCTGCCCCTCATCCAACCTGCTTGATGGATTATTTGCTGATCTACTTTTTCATGAGGCTGCAGAGAAAAGCCTCATGGAAAGGCTTTTCTCCTCTGTGGACACAATTCAGGTTCACCTTCTACCTTCTTAATAGCTGGGCAGAACAATATGACAAGCTATCCAACTTCTGTGGCTTCCTTAGAGGGCAAGATCAATTGGTCACTTTAAAAAAAATTAACGCCCTGATTAATCGGACAACAAGATATTAAAATGTTACTTTTCTCACATGCTTATAAAATCTGCTGTTTTGCAAGCACCTGGCTTAACATTCCTTCTTCTTTCCCAACAAGAAGCATGCCAGCAATTACATTTGTGTATCGTCTAAGAACAGAGCGGTTAGTTTCAGAAAATGCAAATTTTAACTGACAAATGAGTGCAGTATGAATTACCTAGACAAACCTATCAGAAATTTATATTTGGAAACCCTGTTATATTGCCCCCGCACACGCACACACCCCTAGGGAAGGCAGTGTAGTTGGCAGGTATGAGCGGACGCATTCCGTAGCAGCCACCTGCTTGCGGAACTCCTTCTTGGCACAGGTAAGAGCGGCTCCTTAAAGGCTCACTCTGTTCTGTTAGGCTTGGACTACGTGACGCTTTGAATGTTGATGCCTCCCCTAAATGTTTCTGTGTTTGTTCCTTCGATTTTATGTGAACCTTTAACTGTTTTATCGTGCATCAGCTAGAAAAGAGGATGCAATTTCATAAATCCGATAAATAAACGTCACCCTTAAAGTTTATTTCATTAGGTTACAATTCTGCATATCAACATCATCCAGGTTCTGCGACATAAACCACGCGACTCATCACTGAGCATGGTGAGCAGAGCAGCAAGGGGCTAAATAAGCTACCTGGTTTTGAGGCAGACATGAAGAATAGGGTTTACGGGGCACCTGGCAGGGTCCCGAGCGTGACTGATGAGCTGGATCCCCGACAAGGCGCAGCGCCTGTGCCCAAGGCCTCCTTCTGCCCAAGGAGAGCGTTCAGGAGGCAGCCGGCCAGCCCTGAGAGGGAGGGCTTGACTGGGGGTCCTGCACTGAGCAGGGGGCCGGCCTTCCGGCTCCTTCCAACACTGCTCTTCCGTGATTTATATTATGCTTTTGAGAATTCAAAGTGCCCCACACATCATCTCAGCAGTTCTTCCGATGCTGATGCATTTTCCCCATAAAAAAGCACTCTAGGCAATTTATGAAGGCAAGACAATGCAAATACATAAATAAATAAACCAGAAAGTGAACAATGCCCAAGTCAGGGACAGACCACTGTTTGCACTTAGGAAATTAATACTTAAGCAGGGAAGAAGGGCCAATATATTTTCAGAGATGGCTCCGTCCCAGCTCAGAATTCATTCCATGACCCTCAGTTCATGCTGAGAAGCAAAAGAATGCGGTTAGAGAAGCCAAAAACCACCCCACCTGCTCTGCTCCCGAATGTGCTTCTCAGCAAGTCATGTGCTCTTCACTCAGGGCTGGCTCTGGAAAGGTTGGCCCTGCACTCATAGCTGAGGTGCAGCACCTTTTGGTTCAGGGGACAAACGCAAAGCATCCGGGATCCCAGTCTGGCCCGCGATGGGTCGGCAGATGCCCACGACTTCACTGGTCCCAGCCACTTTTCCCAGTCACCCATCCTTTGAGTTTTCCAGCTCTTGCACAGTTCTTCTCCTCAGTCTAAAAGACCGAGTTCCTCTCCTAAGGCTGAATCACAGTAGGATGAGCTTTAAGCGAAGCCATCCCAGTATTTTGAATGTTGATCTGCCCCCCAATTTTCGTATAAACTATCTTCTTTTATGTTCTTCCTTTTTCCCTCTTGCAGGGTACATGGCAGCCGACACAGTCCCCCTTCACTTCGCTCAATTTTACTCCCAAAACAACCACCCTGTGAGGTAGGTTAAGCTGAGAGAGAATGACAGAAATTGGCCATCAAGTGGAAAGAGGGTCAGAGACGGTGATGTGCAACCAAAAGGATTTGGGAGCATGTGGCTCAGATCGCAGAGTACTGTATCAGTTCCTTTAACACAACTATCATCCTAAGCCACCCTTCCTCAGCCTCATCCAGGCATGTTTGGACTACAACACCCAGAATTCCAAGTCAATGGCCCTCCTGGATGGAAATTCTGAGAGTCATGGTCCAAATGCCTCGAAAGCCACCAGGATGGGGAAGGTTGTTCTAAGCAATTGGGTTATTTATGGTGGGAAGACTCATCTTGTCTTCATCATGTCCTTGACACTGGGAAACGCTTTCCAGAACAGTTGTTTTAAAAAGTTAACCAAATGCAGATGATCACTCTCCCCATTTGCTATTTAAACCTATTCTGCCCACAATGAAACAACAGAACTACGACAAACATCATCAGTTCTCCAGATAACCCAACCCAGTGACAAGAGAAAGTATGTTTAGAAAACTTGCAGGCATCTCAAACGAATGCATTACGCCACCAGCTGGGCTTGTTCCAGCTGGAGATTGATCCATTCCAAAATGTTACACAAAAATACCCTTTAAATATTAATCCCATAGAGAGGCAGTTACAAAAAGTAAACACACTTGGTAGAGTCAGGATTTTTTATTAACTTCTGTTATCTGTTCTGCTAAAAAGCTTTATCTTTAGAAAACGGCCATTAATTCATGTTTTAACTTTAAAACATGAAATCTGGTTCTGCTTTAATCACCAGGAACGCTCACTAATTCTGAAAATAGAAAGACAGCTTTAATATTACAAAGCCTGATTCAAAGTAGACTCATGTACCCTGGAAGGAAGATTGGGGTGGGGGGCATGGAATGGGAGGGAGGGAAGAAATAAATGGAATGGATAAAAAGCACACTTTGTGCTATGGAATTAAGGCTGTTGCATCACTTCACAGTTCTACATTATCAGTGCTTGGGTTTAAGGAACAAAGGTTATTCTACTCCAGAGGTAATTATGAACTTCAAACTCCAGCTTCATAGAATTACATGTAATAGGAAACAAGGAAAAACACACACACACACGCGCGCGCGCACGCGACAACGGAGTAGCAAAAGGTGGGCAAACATAAAAAAGGTTTTGATTTGGCATCCCTTGTGGGCAGAGAGCAGTGCAGCCTGAATCACAAACAGCACCCTTTCCTTGAAAATGCCCTCAACAGGTTGCTCAGAGTCAACGCTTCTGTACACAACTAATTCATGACAATCTACACTGAAGAAAGAGGCTTCGTTCATTGCCTTGCAATGTTCAGGTCACTCCTCAATAGATTTTATGTATTTCTCATATGCGTCTTCAGTCAGAAGTTCATCAAATTCTAAAGGGTCATCCACAGTCATCTTGATAAGCCACCCTAGGAGCAAGAAAACAATTTAGTGCTTTTCTTTTTTAAACAAACAGCCTGTGCTTTGCAGCTCTAGGAAATGCTCTCTCTAGGAATCACCATCCATGCTAGCAAGTGTAAGTTCCACCAAAAATCAGTAAGCTTTCATAGGCTAAAGTTGAGAAAGAAGACAACCAGTTCAAATCCACATATTCCTTGAACTCACAAAGGGCTGTTTTTTTCACTCCCCCCCCCCCCCCGCTTCCCAGATCCCCTTCTGAGGTGCAGTACTGGCATGTGAGCCTTTTTTAAGGCTGCACCCTGGGGTGCTGATACCATTTTCCCCTGAGGACAAGGCCAATTCTACGGCTCCTTCCCCTTTGTTCCTTCTTACGTAGCTACAGGGCGCCAGAATTGTTCCTTCTCCCCCCTCCCCTTTAATTCCAATTTTCTGCAGAAATACTTTTGAGAAGTCAAATGTAGCTTCTTACCATCTTCATAACAAGATTTGTTGACGAGTCCTGGATTATCAGCAAGTGCAGTGTTAATTTCTGTTACTTCTCCTGTGAGTGGGGAATAGAGTTCGCTAGCGGCCTTCACGCTTTCCAAAGCACCAAACTCATCTGATACACAGAAATGGAGGGAGGACAGGACATTGGTTGGGGAACTGAAGCAGGGGTGTTGCTTGGTTTACATGGAAGTCAAGAACCACTCCCTCAAGAATTCGGGAACTTCAGAGCTGGCCAATTATGCTAAATCAGCCTTTCCCCAGGACGCTGGGGAAGACGGAAACCGTACTTCAAGACATCAGGAGGGTGTCAGGTTGGGGAACATTGTTAAGGCATCAAGAGCTCTGTGAAGTCTCAGTTGCACTTCAAGTCAACAGTATAGATGATACCTGTCAGCTCCATCTAAGCAGCCTTCCCCAATCTGGTGGCCTTCAGAGGCATTTGGACCTCAGCTCCCAGAATTCCCATCCGGCAGGGCCATCAAGTGGGAATTCTGGGTGTTGCAGTCCAAATGTGTTTGGCAGGCACAAGGTTGGGGAAGGCTGATCCACAGCAAAGGTAAGCATCTGAAAGAGTACAAAATACAAAGCAAAAACCACTTGGCATGAAAAAACATCTAAAGTAGCTTTCTCAGTACCAGCTCAAGAATGGTACGACTGTTTAATGTTTAAAAAAACATTTTTCCCAGCAATGTTTTAGTGTGTTAATGATAAAAAATTAAAAGAAGAAACAATGCTCACCCTGTTTGTTCAACTTTGTTCCAATTTCTGGAAGACTACAATAAACCACATCTCCTAATGCTTCCTGAAAGGAAAGTTCAGACCTCATTAAAGGTGAGACTATGAGAAAAAGCTGTCAAAATCTCCCCTATAAGAATTCAAGCAGGAGCAAATAGAGCTGGTGCTTCTCCTTCTGCCATTCCCAGGGCCCCACTTCAACTATCAGGGTCTGCACATACTCTCTTCTCCTTGAATAGGACTAGCCTGCTGTACCGACCGTATCGCGGACAACAAGGCTTAGACATGCCTCGCTTCTCAGGCACAGCAAGGCCAAAGTGTAGAACAACAAACAAAGAGGAAACCAGCTGGGAAGTCTCCCAACCACACCAGCTTACCAGGACTTGGAGCTTGTCAAGTGGTTGCTAGGGAAGGACTAACCCTTTCCTGGTCTCCCTCCGTGTGTGCGGATTCTTATGACTGGACCAAGACACCTTGTGGAGGTGACTCCATGGCTCCTTAATGACACAGAAAGCTAAGCCAGACTGCTTCAGGATTCTGGCTTATTGCTCATGGACTGGGATACTGGTGCACTTTGTGTGACCACTCCCACTTGGCTCTTCCTGCAAGTGGGCAGGAGCAGCTAAACTGGCCAGGAACTTGCCAGGATAGAAATGATTTGTGTTGCCCCTGGCTTGTTATTCCACTACAAGCCTAGATCCAGAAACCAAGTTAAAGGCATGGCTTCAAATCGGAGTGTGAAGAGAAGTGAGACGTCCGGGTTCAGATTCAAAGATTCAACTGTCTCCCCTGGTTAGTTTAACTAAGTGGGGATCATTGATCCGTGCGAACTAGTTCTAAAGAATTCTGCCTCAGCAGTTTGTATGAACATGGCCACTTTGTGAGGAAGGAAGGAGTCTTTCTTTTCTTCTTTTAAGCTGGCATCCGGATGCTAATAGTGTGCCAAAAAGGTCAAAGTCAGCTTGCTTTCTCAATGGGTCAAAAAGTTTCTAAATGGCCAATCCAGAACCCATTTTGTGCAATGTTTTACACACACACACACACACACACACACACACACACACACTACAGGGGGCTGCAGTGGACACAGGCTTCCTGCAAACTGCATGCCCCCCTCCACTTTTAGAAGTGACTTCATTTTTACAAGTGAGCAGGGGAGATGGTACTTAAGCGTACCACAACACCCTGCTCTGGTACTTACACAATTTGAGACCCTCACCAACTAATGGAGACCAGCCATTTAAGAAATTATACAATCCTTACATGCAGAGCAAAAGGTTCACACACACCAACTGGCCAGCAAAATGAAGCTATAAGTATCTCAGTTGGAACAGTGGCGCTTCCGATTTTGCCGCTGTTGCTTCGTTTGCAATCACCTACCTTCATGAAGTATTCAGGTGCACTGGGAAGCGATGAGGCACCATGGAATTTTCCACCCCAAATACAAGGAAGTATTCAGTCCTATTAAATGCTTACATTAATAAGCATTATCCCCAGTTAAAGAAAACTCTGAAGGTAATAAAAACCATCCAGTCCTAAGGGTAGTACACAGAGGCTGAAGGGGTGAGGAAGGTGGAGGAGAGGATGGCTAATGCAGCCAATAGTTTTCCAGCCACGCTCTGAGTTCCAAGTCCACCATTTGGCTTTGTATGCAGAAATCATCAGAACAATCAAGAAAGCAAAATCCAAGGCCAACAGCAGGTTGATAAACACACATTTTGTAGGGCGATGGCAAGGCGTGTGTGGGGGCAGGGGGATCCGTACCTGTGCAAAGTTGCTGATTCCTACAGTTCCAATACCGTTTTCAACTGAGACCCATTCATGCTTGTCTGTGAACCGACGGGCTAAAACAAAACACACGGGGCATCTCAATACATCCTGCTTTTCCTGACCCAACATTGGCTTCAAGGTTCTACCTTAAGAACGGTTGGCATCAGCTTGACTTAAGCATCCTTTGTTCCAAGCACTTAAGAGATCTCTTTTCCTCCTTAGTTCAATTTAGAAATGAAATGAATAAATTTTCAAATCTTTCACCCATAGATACAGGCCGTTCTTCCTTCTATACTATGTACAGTTCTGCTTCTTCTCTTTGCATTTTTATAATATTTTTATGTTCAAATACTATGCTAAAAGATAAAAGATTCGGATAGACAAATACACCTCCAAATCTGAATGGCCCAAGCCAGCCATGCCCTAGTACAACAGGCCATTTCAACCCCCCCTCCCCCTCCCAGCCCCTTTCCTTCTCTCTTTCTCACCTGGCACTCCTCACTGGCCTAGTTTAAGGAGACGCACCTGGGTGGGGCACTGAAAAGATTTTTGTCCTGCAAGCCTTAGGGCCCCCCTCACCAGCTAGTGCCTCCCTCGTCTTTCTCAGTTGCCTCCTTCCAAGCTCCAGTTCCACTGGCACTTACCACTTTATTATTCCAGGGAGTGAACCTTTAAATACCCTGAGGCCACTCTTCCCAGTACTGGCAGAATTATAGCACCTGGCACCTCTGAGGGCTCTGCACTTCTGGGCACTGTCCAGAGCCCTCCTGGACGACGGGTTAATGCAGATTCTAAATTCAATTATAAATAAGTAAATAAGAGCAGCAGCTCTTCACGCTGCCAGCAGCATGTCCTGCCAGCCAAATGTCCGTTATCTCCAGTCTGAGACAGAGATAACAGCAGGCCATTTGGTTTAAAGGGGGCAGGCAGTCTCCAAGGAGGGTCTGTGGGTAGTCCACCAGGCCAGGTTAGGCCCACATCAGGGGTTCTGAACCCCAGTCCTAAGAACTTGGCTGGCCAATTCCACATTCCCACCTGTTCTCTTTGAACATGTGCATAATCTCTGTATATTAGTTTGAGAGGCTGCCAATTAAGGTTTGTTGAGGTTTTTCAACCTGAACAATACATACATACATACATACATATATATCGAGTGCTATAAATTCTAAAGCCTGCAAACTGACAAGTATTGATATAGTAACATCACCACCATATGGGAGCAATACATTCATTATAGTCTGAGCCCCTGAGAGGTTCAACAACTTTTAGGTTACAACCTAATAGATGTGGGATTATTGGAACAAACTTTCTATCCTTTATAAAAGGCTTGGAGTTGGGTAATGACAGACTCTAACAGAAGCATAGTTATGCAAGCAACTGAGGCTGAAATCCTATTACTTTATGGTAATAAACCTCTCTGAACACAATGGGACTTAAATAAACGTGCATAGGAATGTACTGAAAAGAGCAAACCTTTGGGTAAGGGATTTTCAGCAGATGAAAAACTCAACACTGGAATATGTCTGAACCAGCCAACTTTCTAAAAGGAACTTTTGCTTTTGCTGCAGCAATGTGTAACAAGAAATCCCTCTTGAATTAGCCTTCAGATCTGGCCTTTAGGTATCTTCCATGCCTTTACAGCTCTTCCATCACTATTTATGGTCCCTGGACAAGTTTTGCAATGGAGGAAAACTGCAGCTTGCTAGGCAGGGATCTAACTACTAGCTGTGCTGGCCTGGGCTAATGGGAACTGCAGCCCAACAACATCTGGAAGGAAGCATCTTCCTCATTGCTTCCCCATTCCCCATTGCTGCTGGCTCTTGCACACATGCAACCCCTTCCTGAACCAGTGCTCTTCAATGTTTTTATTAATGTTCTGGATGAAGAGGTGCAGGGAATTCTTATCAAATTTACTGATAACACAAGATTTGGTGGCAACCTAATACCCTAGAAGGCAGAAAGCAATTCAAAGCAATCTTTCTAGCAGGAGTGTTGGGCTGAACTTCAATACAGCCAACACAAATCTCCACCAAAGAAGATAAACCAAATGCGTAGCTACAAAACGGGAGTACATGGCTCTGCAATAAATACTACAAGTGAGAAAATTCCTGAGATTGTTGTAGGTCACAAGCTGGATATGAGTCAATAATGTGATGTGGCTGCAAAAAGGGCAAATGCGATTTTAGGCTGAATTAATACAAGGACCACTTAAACTCACATGTGCTAGTTTCCCTCAGCATTGCTTGGGCCTCATCTTGAGTAAGTATTATGTTCAATTCTGAGCACCACAGTTTTAAAAAGTTGCATACAAAGGGCAGGAGCAACAAAAATGATCAGGAGATAGGAGACACAGGCATCTGAGGGGAGACAGAAAAACTGGGCATAATTGGCCAGGAGAAGAGAAATCTGAGAGAGGAGTTGCAAAATACCAACCAGTTGCAGCAAAGTTCGACAGAAATTGCAGAAGAGATGGATTGGGACCTTCCCAAGGCACCTGGTTCACAAGGGCTTGCTTAGGCTTGATTTCTGAGCAGTAGCTGAATATCTAAAAAGCAGCCTCTTTGTTCAGAGGTAGAGCTAAATTAGGTATATACAAGCTTTCTGGCCCGGAGTGCCACATCCCATGTGTGCATGCCCATATGCAAGTTCATGCACTACAAACGTACCTGTGCACACTCCCATAGTAAAAAGGCCTACAACTCCCAGCATGCCACTGAAACTGTACACTACACTGTATCAGTGGTTTGTTTTTGAGAGGGCAGTATAGAAATTAATGCTAATAAAAACGGTTAGGCGCACAACCCAACCCCAGCTGTGGCCGAATGAGTGGGCCAGGATCGACAGAACGGACTCCGTGCTGAGGCGACATCAGAGGAAAGAGTGCCACTCCGCCCGCACCCTGCTTCTGCCTTCCAGGCCGCCTCGCTCCGAACTTGCACACAGCCTCTGTCCATGTGATGAGTGTCCTGAAGAGCCGAACGGCCCTGTGCACCAGATCCCGGTATGCAAATGAGGAGGTTCTACCCATGAGACACGCACGCATGCTGATCCAGAGCCAAGCCCGTGGGCACCTCTCGCTGCCCCGGGCGACTGTCTCCGGCGCAGGGCACGCGCATTCACGCGCACCGCGCGCTCCCCGCTCAGCAAGCCTGGAACTCCCGTCCGGAGGCCTCCGGGGGGGGGCGGGGCCCGGGGACGGCGCAGCGCCCCAGGACGGCAAAGCCCTCGCGGATCGGCTCGGGAGGCGCGCGCGCCCCGCGGGCTGCGGCGGCGCCCCCGCTCTGGGCCGGGAACGGCCGGGGCCCCGCAGGCTCGCGGACCTGCCCGGGCGCCCTCCAGCAGGGCTGCTGCAGGCGGCAACCCGCGGCGGCTCCCGCGCCCGCCCGGCCCCCATGCCTCGCAGCGCGGCGGCGGGCTTGCGCAGAGGACCTGCCCGCCGGAAGC